TCCTCTTTAACCTGGCCTTGGTTATTGGTTTCGTAGTATTTTTGATATTAAATGAATGCAGTCCTTTTATGTCTCTTTCTGACTTATTTCACTCAGCATAGTAATCTCCATGCCCTTCTATTTATAGGAAATTTCATGACTTCATTTTTCCTCGCACCTGCATTGCATTCTTTTCTTTATTAGTGAAACACCATGAGGTACAGTTGTAGACTTACAAACTTTCGTGCTTCGGTTTGAGTTATACAATGATCAAGTAAACATCCCTCCATCAGTGCCCATTCTCCACCACCAATGAACCCAGTAGTCCTCCCACACCCCTTCCATCACTCCACCCCACCTCTGAGGCAGGGTGGGGTGCTCTCGTTTTCCTTTAAAGTGTTGTGGTTTGCAATAGAGGTATTGAGTGGCCATCGTGTTTGGTCTTTAGTCTACTTTCGGCATGCATCGTGCATCCTGAGCAAGTCCTCCAAACACCCTTTGCTTGGTGTTTCCTTCTCCATCTGAGCTACCTTTCCCCCCAGCATGTGCTGCCAGCTTCCAAGCTGTAGAGCAGACAAATTTTCTTGGGTCTTGGTCTACCTTTCTATTACTTTATATTCCCCAGATGAGTGCTATCTTTCTGTGTCTGTCCCTCTCTTTCTGACTCATTTCACTTAGCATGATACTTTCCATGTACAACCACTTGTTTGCAAATTTCATTACTTCATCATTTCTAACAGCTGCATAGTATTTCATGCTGTAGATGTACCAAAGTTTTTTTAACCAGCCATCTGTTCTTGGGCACTCGGGTTTTTTCCAGATTTTGGCTATTGTAAAGAGTGCTGCAATGAACAAACAAGTGCAGATGTCACTTCAACTATACTTTTTTTGCCTCTCTGGGATATATGCCCAGGAGTGCTATTGCTGGGTCAAATGGGAGCTCAATTTCTAATTTTTTGAGGATCGTCCATACTGTTTCCCAAAGGGGCTCAACCAGTTGCCATTCCAAACAGTAGTAAAGGAGAGTACCTTTCTCCCCAAATCCGCGCCAACACGAGTTGCTTCTTTTCTTTTGGATGCGGGCCAGTCTGTGTGGTGTGAGATATCTCATTGTTGTTTTGATCTGCATCTCCCTGATGATTAATGATGTAGAGCATTTTCTCATGTGCCTTTTAGCCATTCAGATTTCTTTTTCGACAGTTTCTTTTCATTTCATTACCCCATTTTTTGATGGGGTTGGATGTTTTCTTTTGTGGAGTTCAACCTGTGCCTTGTATATCCTTGATATCAACCCCTTATTGGATGGGTTGGGGTGAATATCCTTTCCCATCCTGTAGATTGTCTCTATATTTTCGTCACTGTATCTTTTGGGGAGTAGGAGCTTCTTGGTTTAATATAGTCCCATTTGTTTATCTCTGTTTCCACTTGGTTGGTCAGTGGAATGTCATCTTTGAAGATACCATTAGCCTCAATATTGTGGAGGGTTTCAATGTACCTTCTGGATTCTTGTCTGATGTTGAGGTCTTTAATCAATTTTTATCTGACTTTTGTGCATGGTGTTAAGTCTAGGTCTAAGTCCATTTTTTGCATGTGGTTGTACAGTTATGCCAGCACCGTTTTTTAAAGAGGCTTTCCTTGCTCCACTTCACATTTCTTGCTACCTTATTAAAGATTAGATGTTCATACATTTGGGGTTGTGTGTAGGAATATTCCATCCTGTACCATTGGTCTGTGGCTCTGCCTTTGTTCCAGTACCATGCTGTTTTAATTGTAATTGTACCACTTTGTAGTAGAGTTTGAGTTTGGGGAGGTTAATGACTCCCATCGTCTTTTTCCCAGGAATTGCTTCTTCCCAAGAAGTACTTCCAGTACTATATTGAATAGAAGTGCGAGAGTGGGTATCCTTGTCTTATCCCTGATCTTAGAGGGAAACTCCTTATTTTTTCCCCATAGAGGATAATGCTTACCATAGGATTGTCCTAGATGGCTTGACTACCTTGAGAAAAGTTCCTTCTAAGCCCATTTTGGTGAGAGTTTTCATCATAAACAGGTGTTGGATCTTGTGAAATGCTTTCTATGCATCTATTGATATGATCATATGGTTTTTATCTTTACTTTTGTTAATATGATGGATTATGTTCATTGATTTCCAAATGTTAAACCATCCTTGCATCCCCGGGATGAATTCCACGTGGTTATGGTGTATGATCTTTCCGATGAGTTGTTGGATTCTATTTGCTAATATTTTGTTGAGGATTTTCGCATCCATTTTCATCAGAGATACTGGCCTGTAATTTTCTTTGTTAGTGGTGTCTTTGTTTGCTTTGGGTATTACGGAGATATGTGCCTCATAGAAATTGTTTGGGAGAGCTCCTGAAAGTGATAGAAATTGATTGTCATTCAATGCCTCTTTTGCAAACCACAGCACCCAAAAGGAGAGAGAGAACAAAAGGAAATGCCTTGCCACAGAGGCAGGGTGTGATGGCGGGCTGGGGGTGGGAAAGATACTGCGATCGTTGGTGGCGGAGAATGGGCACTGGTGGAGGGATGGTACTTGATCATTGTATAACTGAAACCCAAGCACAAAAATTTGTCAGTCTACAACTGTACCTCATGGTGTTTCACTAATTAAAATTAAAATAAAAAACTCCATCGGCCTACTGCAATTCCAACAAAAGACCAGTGTACGCAAGAAGCTGTACAAGCCAGATATAAAAGAGCACCTCCTCCTACACTACACTAGATGCCCATCATAAGCCACAGAATAATATCTGAGAGAAAGGACATATTCTAGAAGGGGAGAAGGGTGACCACCATTGACCAACATTATTCATAACCCTTTCCCAAAATAAGAGGGAACAGTGCTAGTGAACTTAAAGGTTTTACTTCGATACAACGACAACAGCATAGGAAACAGCACAAATCTCCACTATGAGGAGAGGACGAAGGAAAGAGTCCTCAGGGAACATCAAGGAACAAGGAGGTGTTGGATGGAAGCCCAACACCTCCTGCAGGCAGTCTGCTGAGATCTCCCAGGCCCATTCAATCTTGCCATCATTGATACTGTCATTAGTCTTGGGATCTGGGGAGCAGAGAGAATTATTGATATCAATAATTCCTCATAAGGCCACTGATTTGGATGTCCAGGGAGCAATTTCTGAGAGCAGGGAGCCTCCCACCAGGGCACTAAGCATTTTGACCACCATTAGGAAGTCCCAGAATTCAACTCAGGGCTGATGCTATGCACTTACAGTGTGAGAAGTGGTGGGTTCCTGCACTGTGGGGAGGCTGGGGGTCTCCACAGTGTGGGGAGTGGGTGAGGACCCTGCAGGTCAACTGCAGAGCACAATCATGCCATCACCACAGTCCCGGGTCCCGCTGTGTGCTGGGCCATGGGACATTAGGAGTATCTGGGTCAAGGGTTCAGGGATCCAGAAAGGCTGGGATTGGTGGGGGGATATCACCGTGAAGTGACCCCAGGTAGAGACTGGAGCGACCCTTGTGGGGTGACAAAGGAGAGAAGAGGCAGGTGAAGGCACCTAGAGGCAGTCCAGACAGAGCATGCCCAACACCAGGCCCCACCCAAATCCTGGGCCTTCGGGTGATTCTGCACCAAATATGGATACCCAAACCACACATAAAAGATCCCTGAGTACTGCCAGGTGTGGCCCCAAAACAAACAACAATAGCAACAGAGCCCAGAGTATTTGCACCAAATTTTTTATGAGATTCGATTCATACATACATGCTGTTAAAATAGACATTGAAAAAATAAACAAAATGCCTTGTTTATTTTTTGGTATCACAAGGCCTGTGGGTCATCCATAAACCAAATAGAAGTGAATAGGGAACCTTGGGAATTTGATTTGGGGGTGGCGGGCAGGTCCCTGTGAAGAAAGAATGAGCTAGGCTTCTCCTAAAAGAGAGACCCAGAGACTGGATGATTCCTGGCTTCAGAAGAGACCAAGAAGGCCAGGCCAGGCTGGACACAGAGTTCTGGACACCTGTGACCAACAGGGAATGGAGTTGGGAGCTTATAGGGAGCCTTAGTGTATAAGGAGCACCTGGCTCTGTGTGTGTATCTGCCTTTGTCTCTCACTGATTATCCCTGATTCTCTCTCTGACTCACTCTCTCTCTCTCTCTCTCTCTCTCTCTCTCTCTCTCTCTCTGGGTCCCAGGGTCTCTATCCATATCTCTGACACTACTAATCCTGACCCTTAGCTGCTCCATGGCTCCATGCTAGGAACTCATCAGACCCTCTTCTGGGACCTCACATTGGGTCTAGGAGTGTGTTCAGGAGTGGGCTTGAGTGGTTTCCAAGAGTCCAAGGCCACAGAGGGGTGGGAGGTGGGGGTGAGTGTCCCTGAAGGGGGAGTTTCTGTCCCACAGGGGTGAGGCTCATGTCTGCTTCGGTAGGATATAACTGGGCACCCCTGCAACTGGTCACCCAAAAGTGGGCACCCATGCTGTTCATACCCCATAGACGCAGGCGCCCTGTGCAGATGACAACCCACACAGCTGCCAGGAACTGCAGGTTCAGAGATTCAAAGTCAAGAGGGGCCCTGCAGGCTAAGCTCTCAGCAGTGCAAACTATTTTTGCACTATAATTCCCCTGAACTGAGAGCCAGACACCCCAAGTATCTCAGCACTGATGGGCTGCAGAGGTGACCAAAGTCACACAGACACCTGCCTACCACCAATGGTCAAACAGATGAGCCCTTTCTCTTGGCACTGATGTGACGAGAAAGAGATGAGAAACAACAATCTGATGGGAAACGTGTAACTGCAAAGAAACGGTTGCATCAGCCTGAAGTAAATAAACCGGTGAGCCCAGGGAGGAGGTGAGGGTGAAGGTCTGTGTTACCTCAGGCAACTCTTTAGGGTTCAGAATGGGGGACTCAGGGGGAGAGAGCCAAGAATCATGGGTGCAGGTGCCTGAGGGGAACACTGTGGCAGAGGAGAGGCGGCAGAAGCTGAGGGACGGACCCTGAAAGCTGTTCAGCCTTCCAGACATGGAGTCATGTCAGTCCTGCTGGCCCTGCTCCTGGGGGCTGCACTCTGCCCCCGTGTCCTCAATCTCCCAAAGGGCACCACCGAGCTGGAGATGGTGACCCAGGTGGACAGCGACAACAGCACCCTGGTGGGTGTCCTCAGTCTAGCCCGCAGCAACACCGACTTTGCCTTCAGCCTCTACAAGCTCTTGGCTGCCCAGAGTCCAGGATCCAACGTGATCTTCTCCCCATTCAGCGTCTCCATGGCCTTGGCCTTCCTGGCACTGGGGGCCTGTGGTTCCACCCAGACCGAGATCCTAGAGGGCCTCAAGTTCAACCTCACTGAGACCCCCGAGGCCGACATCCGCCGGGGCTTCCAGCAGCTACTGAGACACCTGAGCCGGCCCGGGATGCCCCTGCAGCTGAACGTGAACACGGCCATGTTCCTGGACCAGCAGTTGGACCTGCAGGAGAACTTCCAGCAGGAGGCCCAGGCGTTGTATGCCCTGATGCTTTCTCCACAAACTTCAAGGATGCCGCTGTGGCAGAGAAGCTCATCAACAACTATGTGGAGCAGAAAACCCAGGGGAAGATCAAGGAGTTGGTCAAGGACCTGGACACAGAGATCAGGATGGTCTTGGTGAACTGTCTCTTCCATAAAGGTGAAGCCACGTATGAGGGAGGAAAATGGGCGTGAACTCTGAGCCTTCGGGGCACATCTGCCCTGCACAGCCTGCTGTGACCCCAGGAGCCAATGCCAAGGCTCGGCCACCCACGTGGAGACCAGGGGCCTACTAGGAGCTCAGCGTGGGCCTGGAAGGAGCTGTAGGGTCCTGGCCTGGGGCTGGGGCCTGAGGATGGGTCTTTGAGCACCCAGAGCTGACTGACCCAGGTGGCAGATCAGGGTCCAAGAGAAGACAGCAGGCTGGCCTTGCTGAGGAGGAGACTGAGGAGGGCAGAGGATGGAGGTGCTGGTGCGGACTGCGCGGCTGCGGGCAGGAGCAGGAGGATGGGCCTTTGGAGGGGTCTGTGGGTCTCAGTCAGTGCCCCAGGCTGCGTCACAGCCACTCTGCTGGCCTGACCCCCACATTACCAACTGAGGGTCCTAGGTGCAGAAACTAGGAAAGTCCCCATCCCCCACCCTGTGCGATGGGGAGAACAGGGACCAGGCTCACTGTAATATGGGCAGATACTCACTCACCCACAGGCCCACAGTGCTCAGGAGCCTGTTCCCTCAGCTCAGCACAACCAGCTCCTCTGGGCCCAGTTTCCAGCCTGCCCAGATGACCCCGGGTCCAAGAAGTACCTAGACAGTGTACAAGGTGGCCATTCCCTGTCAGGTGCTCAGCATTCTCTCTGCCTACAGCCCAGTGGAAGACGCCCTTTGACCCCCACGACACCTACCAGTCAAATTTCCTTGTGAGCGAGAGCAGGAAGGTGAAGGTATCCATGATGAGGGCTGAGGACATCCGGGTATCCTACTTCCGGGACGAGGTGCTTGACTGCACCGTGGTGCAGCTCCCGTACAGGGACAGCAGCGCCTGTGCCCTCCTCGTCCTCCCTGACTACGGTCACATGACCAAAGTGGAGTCCAACTGCTCCCGGGCACACTCCAACGCTGGAGGGACTCGCTGAAGATGAGGTACCCCACCCTGTCTCTTCAGCTCCTCTTCCTCACCCTCACTTCCCTATTCCTACCAGTGGGACCCCCTCACCTCACAGTCAACAATGGAACCCCTGAGTGGGTGCAGCGTTATGGTAGGGGTCCCCCAGGCTCTGGTATCAGTCCAACCCTGGGGTACCAAGGGGAGCATAGGGCCAGCTCCCTTTGACAAGCACAGGCCTGGAGGGAACGGGATGACCCCGAATCCCCAGGACTCACATGCTTACACCAACGCCCTGTCTCCATGTCATGAGGCCGGGATAGAGGACAGGACCCCTGGGGGCTGGGAGAGATGGGCCTGGGGCAGCTGTGCCCTGGCTCAGGGTGGAACTATTCTGGGCTGAGATAACATGGAGGTGAGGGACTTGTCTGCAGTGATTGATTTTGGCTCCACCCCTGGCACCCAGATCCCTCGAAGCGATGCCTGAGCCAGAGCTAGGGGTAAGCACTGAGGATCATTGGGTTTGACAGGAGAAATTCATTCACACTCTCATCATTAACTCATCCATTCACTTACTCATTCACTCACTCATTCACTGATTCATTCACTTTCTTTTATTCTCTCACTCTCTCATTCATTCACTCACCCAGCCTGGGGTGTTGGTAACTGAGCACTACTCGAACACAGGCATGAATTCAGAGAAGAGGGGCTCCTGCTGCTGAAACCTGGTCCTCTGCCTCCCTCTGTCTGGGGGAGAGTGACCCCCTCGATACGTCAGTGGTTTGTTGTCTCGAGGTTGAGGACTGGATGGGCGATTGGGGGCACTGGTTTGTGAGAAGGGGTGCTGGAGATGGGAGCTCAGATGGGGAGCCGTGGGAACTATCCAGGAAAGAGCAGCTGGGCAGAGAATCAGTGGGCAGCACTCACAGGCGGACGGCAGCCAGCAAGTCAGGCTCTCTGTCTGAATTCATGCCTGGGTCAGAGTAGTGCTCAGTGGCAGCACCCAGGCTCAGTGAGCGAGCAAGTGAGTGAAAGAGAGAGAGTCACGGGTGGAGGGGAGCTCAGTGGAGGGTTGGGTGTGAGCATAGGGGCAGGGCCATGCACCCACAGGGTAAGTGTCTTTCCCTGCTTTGAGGGAGCCCAAGGGATCAGTTAGGGGCCTCACCCAGAGGACCCGGAGAGCAGCTGAGCAGAGGGCCATGGACAGCACTGCTCGCTTCATGGTTTCCTTCTGCTCTCAGAACCATCACCCTGCACCTGCCCAAGTTCTCCATCTCCGGGAACTACGACCTGGAGCAAGTCCTGATGGAGCTGAGCCTCAGCAGCATCTTCTCCAAGCAGGCGGATTTCTCAGGCCTCACCCAGGCTGAGAAGCTACACGTCTCCCAGGTGAGGGGGACCTGCGGACCTGCGCCTCCAAGAAGGACGCACTCCAGGCCCCCCGGAGCACCGAGGGCCCCCAAATCTGTTGTAGCTGTGTCTGTCCCTCTGCTTGCCTGCCCCTGGGCTCCCCAGGAGAGTGGTCCTAGTTGGGAAGGTTCCAGTCCCACCTGGAAAGGGCCCTGAGTCTGGACCAACCTTCTCCTGCCCAGGGGTCACCCAGGCCCTCCAGCCTCTGCTGGCCCAAAAATACATTGGAGGCTCAGTACTGGTCACAGCCCAGCAAGGACCAGCAGCTCGAGAGGTAAAGGAATCTCATAGGCTGTGCTGAGATGGCCCTTCGTCGGTGGGACCCTGCACCTGCCCTGACTCCCCAAAGCATGAAAGTTCATTCCTAAAGGGTGGTCGGCCTGATCTGGTCTGGGAGCTGGTGGCTGGGGGACATGCAGAGTCAGTGGGCACAGCCCATCCGGGAGCAGGGCCCTGCAGGAAGCAGGTGGCTGGGGCTGTCCACTCTGCTCCAGGCGCTGTGACAGCAGCTGCCCCACTCACAGGGTCTCCGTCTAGGAGCTAAGGAAAAGTACCGAGTTGCCCCTTCCTGCTCCTAGAATGTGTGTTGGGAACCTCGACCACTTTCCCGGGCATAACAGGACACCGAGGCCCCTCTCCCATCTCCACGTCTGAGCTCACTCCAGTCCATGGCCCGGTCGACCATCTGTGCTGTGGACTGTGCTGGCCAGGCCCGGTGTTCTGAAGGGGCCATGACTGGGGACCCTCTCCCCAGTGCCAGGACAGCTGCTCCTCGAGGAGCTCAAGCTTGCTGCCTTCTGCCTTCTGCTTGTCCTGCCCAGTGGTGACAGCTCTGTGTCCCCCAGGTGGTCCACAAGGCTGTGCTGGATGTTGCGGAGGAAGGCTCTGAAGCAGCAGCAGCCACAGGAATCAAATTCTATCCTCTCTCCGCAAGGTGGTATAATACAGTTGTGAACTTTGACAGGCCCTTCCTTGTGGTCCTCCTCTCTGAGGACACACAGAGCATCCTCTTCCTGGGCAAAGTGGCAGACCCCCAGCAGGCTCCCACTCCCACTGAAATGGGTCCTGGCCTAAGAATTCAGCCCTGCCCCAGGTGCAGGCACTCCCCATCTCACCTGGACCACCTTGCTGGTGGCAGTGTCCATGCTTGAGACTGTGTGAGAGCAATAAATGTTTTCAAAGGTACAGATAGTACAATGGTCTGGGCATTTGCCTTGCATACAACCAAGAGGGTTCAATCCTGGCACCCCATATTAGTACCACTAGGGACTCCCTGCTCCGTTTCCGACCTGGACCGGTTCACCCCTCCTTAGGCAACCTGGTGGTCCTCCGCTCCTGGAAGGTCACCATATTGATGCCGAACTTAGTGCAGACACCCGATCGGCATAGCGCACTACAACCGAGAACTCCTGGACTCAAGCGATCCTCCAGCCTCAGCCTCCCGAGTAGCTGGGACTACAGGCGCGTGCATAGCACAGCGGTAGGGCGTTTGCCTTGCACGCAGCCAACATGGCCGACCCGAGTTCGATTCCTCCGCCCCTCTCGGAGAGCCCGGCAAGCTACCGAGAGCATCTTGCCCGCACGGCAGAGCCTGGCAAGCTCCCCGTGAGGTATTCGATATGCCAAACACAGTCACAACAAAGACTCCAATGGAGACTTTACTGGGCCCGCTGGAGCAAATCGATGAACAAGGGGAGAACAGTGACAGTGACAGTGACAGGGACTCCCAGGGATGTCCAACCCATCTGCAGAGGGCGCCAGAGCTCACAGGTGAGAGGAGCTGTCTCCCAGCACCACCCAGCGCCCAAATCCTGGTGTAAGCCTGCTGCTATTGTGCCTCTGACCGAGTGTCTAGGAACTGGGACTTCATAACCCCCTTCAGCCCCATTAATGTGCTAGAGCAGCTCAGGGGACTCAGGATCAAGTCCTCCTGGGGCCCCAGGGCTTCACCAAGGACAGAAGGCAGGAAGGGCAGCTGGGTGAGGAGCCGGGGGGAAGGTCGAGGAAAGCCCAGAACACCCCATCCTCTAGGTGAGCCCCTGCCCCAAATCTTCGTGTGTGTCCCCCAGCTGGGGAGCACCCGTAGCCCTTTGGGATCTTTTCAGTTTGTTCACCAGGGGGAGGGGCAACCCCATCATCTCCCCACTAGCCCCCTAGAAACAAACACCGTTCCTCTGGAAATCAGTCCACTATTCCTGATGCCTTTGACTCCTGCATATACACTAGCCCCTTCTGGCCCTCTCAGCGCTTAGGAAATTCAGGGCTCCTGTGTGTGGTGACATGAACACTGTGGCTGAAGACCAAGGACATGTAAGCAAGGGAGGTTGGTCATCTGCAAGATCAAGTTCTCGTTCCTGACACATCCCAGCCCGACCCCAGTAATGGCCACAGGCGACCTGTTCCCCACCTGCTGGCCACAGTGACTCACCCTGATGAGGCTTACAGGGATGGTCCATGGACTGTCTGAAAGGCAAAAAAAAGGGTGACAAAAAATCAATATTTTTAAAATGTTGAATTGATTAAATAGTGAAGGGGCAGATGAGAGCAGGTTCTGGAAGGTCAGTGAAGTTAAACTGAGTATGCAGTCAGGGAATATTTCCTCAAGGGGGTTAGGTCAGAGAAAGCACGTGGGGGAGGGGAACTTGGGGAGGTGCAGTGACAGCAGCGTAGAGAAGAGAAAGTTCCGACACCAAAGAGTAATGCAGACATTGGCAAGAGTTGGAAGAATGGGGCGGGTCTGGAGCAGGAAAGAGGGTTTACAGGGAGATGACCTATATAGCTCAGCTCCTGTTGCTGAGATCAGGGGCTAGTAAGGTGTCTAGAATGTTCATTCACTGATTCCATCAGTGACTCCAAGAATTTTTTGCAAATTTGCTGGCACTTGATTTTAACTTGAGAAAATTAGGGTGGTGGCTTCTCTGCCCAGAACAGAGAGGGTGGGAAGGACTTAAATTTCTGTATGTATTCCACCCACCACTCACCCAACCATCACCCACCCATCTACCATCCATCAATACAATCATCCATCCACCACCTATCTCCACCACATACCTTCCATCAATCTGTCCATTCAACCATCCAGACAGACAAACAGACAGACCGTGAACAAGTGTCTCGGGCTCTTAGCTCCTTATGCCCCAGTGAGGAAGATCTGGGAGAGTGTGGGATGAATGTGGGTGAGTGTGGGATAAATGTGAATGAATGTAGATGAGTATGAATGAGTGTGGGTGAGTATGGGGTGAGTGTGAGGTTGAGTGTGGGTGAGTGTGGGGTGAGTGTGTGTGGGTGTGGGGTAGTGTGGGTGAGTGTAGGGTGAGTCTGGTGAGTTTGGAATGAGTGTGGGTGAGTATAGGGTAACTGTGGGGGGGTGATTGTGGGTGAATTTGGGGGTGATTGTGGGTGATTTTGGGGGTGATTGTGGGTGAGTGTAGGGGGTGTGGGGTGAGTGTGGGTGAGTATGGGTGGTGAGGGGTGAGTTTCCGTAAGTGTGGGTATGAGGTGAGTGTGGGGGTGAGTGTGGGGGTGTGGAGGTGACTGTGGGTGAGTGTGGGGTAAGTGCGGGTGAGTGTGGGTAAGTGAGGGGTGAGTTTCGGTGAGTGTTGGTGAGTATGAGGTGAGAGTATGGGTGAGTGTGGGTGAGTGTGGGGTGAGTCTGGGTGAGTCTGGGTGTGTATCTTTGGGGTTGCCTCAAGTGTGGGGTGCACATTCTCAGCCCTGGGTTCCCCTCTCTCCCAACGCAGCCTCATGGAGCTCTGGCTCCTTCTGAACCTGATATTCCTGTGCCACCTGGTGGCCGCCCCCATGACCACAAAGCTAGGAGGAATAAGTAGGGCAAGGCCCAGCCTGTGCCCAAAGTGTCCCCTGCTTGGCCCTGAACTTCATCTTGGGCCTCTACCCCAGGAGCGGGCAGAGAGGAGAGAAATCAGGACACCCACACAAGCTGGAGGGACTCCAAGAGCAAGGAGGGGAGGGGAGAGAAGGGGAGAGCAGGATACCCTTTCCTTAGGTCCCGCTGTACCTGCTACCGTCATGGTGTCAGGGTCTCAGTGCGGGACCCATCACCAGGCTGCAGACATTCTGTCCTAACTTGTCCTGTCCTTTCCTGTCTTCTCCTGTCCAGTCCCATCCTGTTCCATCATATGCTGTTCTTTCCTGTTGGTTCTGTCCTGTTCTGTCCTGTCCCATCTTGTCCAGGTCTATTCTGTCCTGTCCCGTTCGGTGTTATCCCGTCCAATTCTGTACTGTCCTGTCCTGTTCTGTCCCATTCTGTTCTGCTCTGTTTGTTTTGTACTGTCCAGTTCTGTTCTCGTTCACTGGGAAGTCCTTGGGCATTGAAGGGCAGGGCAGAACACACTCTAATAAAGCCATCATGAGTTTACCTGTCTTTCAGGGTTACCCAGGCCTGGCCAGTGTGAAGATGTGAACATCACGTCAGTTGAGGGAGTCAGGGAGGCCTCTATAGGAGTCTCCTGGCAGGAAGGAGTCCATCCCCTCCCTCTCCAGCATTGGAGGGGTCCTGGTCTCCAAGAGCCTTTTTGATGCTGACAGCAGGCCCCAGGCTGTGGTCAGTCATTGAAGATCTGCACATTCCGCATTTTCCACAGCAGAGATTCCCAATGAGTCTTTGAGCTGGCCTGCCTTCAGGATCTCTCTGAGCTTAGTAGAGAAACTAAGGCACTTGAACAGGTTACAAGTAACAGATACTTGTAATGGTACGTGTTATTATAAGACCTGCTCCTGCCATTTAGCCTTGTGCCTAACTGCATCCATGGAAAGGGCTTGTGGGATCCCATAGCTGCTTTGAGATTCCCTGTGTGTAGGAATGGTAGACCATAACACCCTCGTACACTCTCTATATGAGTTTATGCAAGCCAATATAGTGCCGATAAGCATTAGAAAACATACTGAATTGTGCTTTTGGGTCCCTGGGATATCTTCTCAGAAGCAGTATTACCGAGTAGTATTGAAACTCAATTTTCAATGCTTTTGAGAAATAATCTTACTGTTTTCCAGAAAGGCTTGGCCATCGGCATTCCCACCAGCAGTGAATGAGAGTCCCTTTCTCTCTGCATCCATGTAAGCACGAGTTGTTCTTTTTTTTATGTAGGAGTACTGCTATTTATTCAGCCACTGATTAGCTGATTGAATTGTGCATGAACTCCACCTTACTCTTTTTTTTCATTTTTTATAATTTTATTTATTGAATCACTATGAGAGCAGTTACAAAGCTTTTGGGTCTAAGTCTCGGTCATACAATGAAACACCCATACCTTCACCAGTGCCCATTCTCCACTCCCAACAACCTAGGTATACCCCCGTCTCACACCCTCCCCTTACCTGTGGGGCAGATGATTTCCACATTACTTTCTCTCTATTTTGATCACATCCAATATTTTGACACCAGACCCACCATTATTATTTGAGATTTTACCCCAACACTCAGATCTGCTGAAAAGGCAACAGTAGACAATTTGTTTTCTATTGCTGGTTATGAATAACATATGATGTCGCATGGCTGCAGTATGGGCCATGTGATTTTGAAATTCCGAAATTTTGACACTTAAATCTGGAGGGATTTTTGCCAAAACCTGGTGGGTTCCGAGATTTGTTTCTGAGTATCTGGGATCATGGCCGTTAAGCAGCTTGATCAGGAGCCAGAGAGGCCATTCGTGGGCGATGACTTGGGGTCTTGGTGGGGTGGGGAGGACAGGACAGGCTCCACCCCCATCCTGTGAGGCCCTGCGTGTGTCATCACTGGGGGCCCAAACCTGACTATTCAGTGACCTCTGTAGGATGGTGGCCAAAGCACGAAACCTATTCCCACCTGGGTTGGCCCAGCACCAGTAACCTATTGCAGGGACCAGACGCATTTCTGCCAAAAGCCGCTGGGTTTCGAGATTTGTTTCTGAGTCTCTGGGATCATGGCCATTAAGCAGTTCAATCAGGAACCAGAGAGGTCATGCCTCCAGTTATATACCTGAGCTGGAGGTGGTTTGTGGGTGTATTTCCCACATACCTAACTTTTGGCCATTTACTTTCTTGGCAAAGTTTGCCCCAAGTTTTGGGGGTCTGGCCAAAGGCACAGCAGCAATTTGGGGGTATCTGGAAGTCTGAAGGCACTATGAGGCTGCTGATGCACTCGCCTCACAGGCAATTGACCTGCTGGCAGCACCACACCCCCGACGAGTTGTTCTTTTGATGTGTGTCAGTCTCTGTGGTGTGAGATGATATCTCATTGTTGTTTTGATTTGTAGCTCCTTGACAATTAATTCTGTAGAGCAAGTTTTCATTCGCCTGTTGACCACTTGTATTTCCTCTCTGAGGAAGTTTCTGTTCATCTCTTCTCCCCATTTCTGGAAGAGGGTGGATGTTTTATTTGTAAAGTTCTACCCTAACAGATGAGTCATATGCATTGCCCTTATTAGAACTATTCACAATAGCCAGAATCTGGGAAGAACCCAAGTTCCCAAGGACAGATGAGTGGATAAAGAAGGAATGGTACATATATACAATGAAATACTACACAGCTATTAGGAAAAATAAAGTAATGAAATTTTATTATACTCGTATAGACATGAGATGATTATGCTAAGTGAAATGAGTCAGAGAGAGGGACAAACACAGAATGACTGAAATCACTTGCAGGATACGAAAAACTGCAAAATTTGAGCATAAAAACCAAAGACAGTAGAGACAAGGGACAAGAGGACTGATCCATGGTAGAAAACTTGCCATAAAGGTAGAGGGGAGATGCAGTTAGGACAGAGAAGGGACCACGATGAAATGACAATAACACTTATCATTGTTTGTGTTAATACCAATTAGCACTATTCACAATAGTAATAAAGGTAAAGGCCCTCCCGTTGATCGTCGATTTGCTCGAGCGGGCCCAGTAACGTCTCCATTGGAGACTTTGTTGTTACTGTGTCTGGCATATCAAATACTCTCGGTAGCTTGCCGGGCTCTCCGAGAGGGGCGGAGGAATCGAACTCGGGTCGGCCATGTTGGCCGCTTATAAGGCGAACGCCCTACCTGCTGTGCTATCGCTCCAGCCCACAATAGTAATAATAACAATAATAACAATCATGATTACTCTGGACAAGAAATGAATGCTGAAAGGAGGTAAAATGATAGGCATGGTACCTTTTGAGTAACACTATTACAAACCATGCCTAAAAGGATAAACGGTAAAATAATAAGAGAGAGAGAAAGAGAGAGAGAAGAAAAGTGTCTGCCAGATAGGCAGGCTGCAGCAGGGTTAGCGGGAGAGAAAATGGGGACATTGGTCATAGGAAATGTGCACTGGTGAAGAGTTGACCGTTGGAACGTTGTGTGACTGAAACCCAGTCATGAACAAATTTGTGGCTGTGCATCTAATGATGAGTCAATTTTTTAAATAATTAATTACTTTTAAAGTACTGAAAGTGCCAACAGGAGAAGAAAGCAAGTATTTCACTTTGCTTGCAATAAACTCCATCCACCCATTTACTGTGGATCCTGGTTTCAAATACACTATTAAAACCTGTAAAGGCAAGGCATACAATTTAGCAATGTTATTTCTTTTGTTCTTTAAATTTCACATGGAAAACCTTAGTTTCCTGTCCTTTTTTACTGAATCCCCAGAAAATACACAATTGCGAATTTGTTCATGGCTGGGTTTCTTCAGTCATACAATGAGACAAATACCAGTCACTCATCTACTTTACATTTATAATCACCAGTGTTTCCAGTTTTTTCCTGCCTGGCCCCCCACCGACTTCCTCTATGGAAGACATTATTCTTCTTTCTCCCTCCCTCCCTCTCTTTCTCTCTTTGTCTCTGTCACTCAATATCTCTCTCATTCACTCTCTTTATATATGTGTGTGTGTGTATAATTCTCTCTCCTTTGGGCCATTATAGTTAGAAATATATGAAAGGGTATCATGTATTTCCTTTTACCTGCTTTTAGCATTCAGTGCCTGTCCAGGGTGATCATTTCCAACTTTCATTGTCGGAAGTGATCCTTTCTCATCTCAAATACCCCCTTCACTTGTGGCATGTTGCCAACCAAGGATCAAGTCCTACTACCCCTCATTTCTATTCTTCTTGAGTGTTGTTTTCATACTATGTGTTTTCATATTCCGCAAATGCATGCAATAATTCTGTAACTGACCCTCTCCCTCTGACTCATTTCATACAGCATGATACTCTCCATGTCCATCCATTTATAAGAAAACTTCATTACTTCATTTTTCCTGGTGACTGTGTAGTGTTCCATTTTGTAAGTATGCCAAGGTTTCTTTATTCATTCATCTGTTCTCACAAACTCGGGGTGTTTCTAAATTCTGGCTATTGTGAATTGTCCTGCAATGAATAGAGAAGTATGGGTGTTGATCCTGATGAGATCAACAGAGTATATTTTGGCCCCCATACTATATTCCTAGAAATGGTATTGCTGGGTCATGTGGAAGCTCAATTTCTAGTTCTTTGAGAAATGCCCATATTCTTTTTCCAAAAGGCTGGACCATTAGGTATTCTCACAAACAATTAATGACTTCATCTTTTCTATCAGCTGCACAAACAATTAATGAGAATCCGTTTCTCCCCTCAACCACATCAGCACTGGTTGTTCTTGTTCTTTTTTAAAAAAAAATTTTATTAGTGAATCACTGTGAGGTACAGTTACAGACTTATAAACTTTTGTACTTGTGTTTTAGTCATACAGTTATCGAGTACACATCGCTCCGCCAGTGCCCATTTTCCACCACCAGTGGTCCCAGCATGTCTCCCCCCACCCCTACCCCATCCCCTCCACCCTACCCAGCCTCTGTAGCAGGGCATTCCCTTTTGTTCTCTCTCTCTCTTTTTGGATGTTGTGATTTGCAATAGAGGTATTAAGTGACCATCATGTTTGATCTACAGTCAACTTATAGCCTACATCTCCAATCCCGAGCGGGCCTTCCTAGCACCCTTTACTTGGCGGTCCTTTCTCTATCTGAGCTGCCTTTTCCCCCAGCATGAGAGGCCTGCTCCTAAGCTGTGGAGTAATCCTCCTAGTACTTATCTCTACTATTCTTGGGTATTAGTCTCCCATTCTATTAATTTATATTCCACAAATGAGTGCAATCGTTCTACATCTGTCCCTCTCTGACTCATTTCACGAACATGATACTTTCCATGTTGATCCACCTATATGCAAATTTCATGACTTCATCTTTTCTAACAGCTGCATAGTATTCTATTGTGTAGATGTACCAAAGTTCTTTAACCAGTCATCTGTTCTCGGGAATTCGGTTTTTTTTCCCAGATTCTGGCTATTGTAAACAGTGCAGCAATGAACATATAAGTGCAGATGTCATTTCCACTATGCTTTTTTGTATCTCCAGGATATATTCCCAGGAGTTGTATTTCTGGGTCAAATGGGAGCTCAATTTCTGATTATTTTTGAGAAGCATCCATACTGTCTCTCGCAGATGATATGATACTATATTTAGAGAACCCTAAAACCTCTACCAAGAAACTCCTAGCTGTATAGTAATGATGCAGGCTATAAAATCAATACCTAAAAGTCCATGTCTTTCCTATATGCAAATAAACAAAGAAAAATAGTGACATGATAAAAGAAATCCCGTTTACAATTATGCCTCATAAAATCAAGTTCCTCGGAATCAGCCTAACTGAGGAGGTAAAGGACCTCTACAAAGAAAACTACGAAAATATGACTTCACAAATTAAAAGAGGAAATGGAAATATATCCCCTGCTCATGGATTGGGAGAATTAACATTGTCAAAATGGCAATACTCCCCAAAACACTGTACAAATTCAACACGATCCCTATAAGGTGACCCATGACATTCTTCAAAGAAATGGAGCAAACACTCCTGAAATTCATATGGAACAATAAGCCACCACTAATAGCTAAGGCAATTCTTGGGAAAAAGAAGATGGGAGGCATCATCTTCTGCAACCTCAAACTCTACTACAAAGCGGTAGTAATTAAAACAGCATGGTACTGAACAAAGGCAGAGCCGCAGACCAATGGAACAGGGTTGAATATACTGACACCCCCCCCTTTGATAAGGGAGCAATAAATGTGAAGTGTAGCAAGGAAAACCTCTTTAACAAATTGTGCTGGCAAAACTTGATAGCTACATGCAAAAAAAGGGGGGGGGGGCTCAGACCTCTACCTAACACTATGCACAAAAGTCATACCAACATGGATTAAAGACGGCAACATCAGACCAGAATCTACCACGTACATTGAAGACAAGATTGGCAAAACCCTCCACGACATTGAAGCTAGCAGTATCTTCAAAGATGACACGCCACTGACCAAGCAAGGGGAGACAGAGATAAACAAATGGGACTATCTTAAACTAAGAAGCTTCTACACGTCAAAAGAAACAGTGACCAAATTACAAAGACAGTCTACAGAATGGGAAATAATATTTACCTAATACCCATCTGATAAGGGGCTGATATCAAGGATATACAAGGCACAGGTTGAACTCCACAAGAAGAGAACATCCAACCCCATCAAAAAATGGGGCGATGAGGCACAGAGGCAGGGTGGGAGGGGGAAATGGGGGGGGATACTGGGATCCGTGGTGGTGGGAAATGGGAACTGGTGGAGGGAAGAGTATTTGATCATTGTATAAATGAAACCCAACACAAAAATTTGTAAGTCTACAACTGTACCTCATGGTGTCTCACTAATAAAAATTTTTTAAAAATGGGGCAATGAAATGAACAGAAACTTTCTCAAAGAAGAAATCCGAATGGAAAAAGGCACATGAGAAAATGCTCTACATCATTAATCATTAGGGAGGTGCAGATCAAAACAATAATGAGATATCATCTCACACCACAGAGACTGGCCCACATCCAAAAGAACAAAAACATCCCGTGTTGGCACGGATGTGGCGAGAAAGGGACCCTTCTTCACTGCAGGTGGGAATGCCAACTGCTTCAGTCTCTTTGGAAAACAGTATGGATGATTCTCAAAAAATTAGAAATTGAGCTCCCATTTGACCCTGCAATACCACTCCTGGGAATATATCCCGGAGAGGCAAAAAAGTATAGTCGAAGTGATATCTGCACTTGTTTGTTCATTACAACACTGTTTACAATAGCCAGAATCTGGAAAAAATCTGAGTGCCCGAGAACAGATGACTGGTTAAAGAAACTTTGGTACATCTACACACTGGAGTATTATGTAGCTGTTAGAAAAGATGAAGTAATAAAATTTACATACGAGTATCATGCTAAGCGAAATGAGTCAGAAAGAGAGGGACAGAGATTGCATTCATCTGGGGAACATAAAGTAACAAAATAGGAGACTAACACCCAAGAATAGCCGAGATAAGTACCAGGAGGTTCACTCCATGGCTTGGAGGCCAACCACACATGCTAAGGGAAAAGGGAGCTCAGATAGAGATGGGAACACCAAATAAAGGGTGTTGGGAAGATCCTCCCAGAATGGGAGATGCATGCTGAAAGTAGACTATAGACCGAAAATAATTGCCACTCAATGCCTTTTTTGCAAACCACAGCACCCAAACGGAGAGAGAGAACAAAAGGGAATGCCCTGCCACAGAGGCAGGGTAGGATGGGGGTATGGGGTTGGGAGGGATACTGGGATTAGTGGTGGTGGAAAGTGGGCACTGGTGGAGGGATGGGTACTCGATCATTGTATAATTGAAACCCAAGCACAAAAATTTGTAAGTCTACAACTGTACGTCATGGTGTTTCACTAACAAAAAAATTTTTAAATAAATAAACCACTGAGCCCAGGGAGGAGGCAAGGGCGAAAGTCTGTATTACTTCAGATAGCTCTTCAGGTTCACAGCACCGGACTCAAGGGGAGAGAGCCCAGAATCATAGGTGCAGCGGCTCGAAGGGACACTGGGAGAGGTGAGGCAGAAGAATCTGAGGGCCAGACCCTAAGAGCTGCTCAGCCTTTTAGACTGAGGGTGGAGGCATGTCAGTCCTGCTGGCCCTGCTTCTGGGGGTGCACTCTGCCCCCATGTCCTCAGCCTCCCGGAGGGCACCATGGAACCGGATGACCCGGACAGACAGGGACAACAGCGTAACGGTGGGTGTCCTCAGTCTAGCCAGCAGCAACACTGACTTCGCCTTCAGCCTCTACAAGTTCTTGTTTGCACAGAGTCTCAGGTCCAACGTCATCTTCTCCCCGCTCAGTATCTCCATGGCCTTGGCCTTCCTGGCATTGGAGCCCGCGACCTCACCCAGACCGAGATCCCAAAGTGCTTCAAGTTCAACCTCACAGAGACCCCCGATGTCAACATCCACTGAGGCTTCCAGCAGCTACTGAGACATCTGAGCCGGCCCTGGGGGTCCCTTGCATATGAATGTGGGCAGCTCTGTGTCCCCTGACCAACAGCTAGACTTGCAGGAGCCTTTCCGGCAGGAGGCCCAGATGTTGTACGCCACCGATGCTCTCTCCACAGACTCCAGGATCCCGCGGCTGCCGAGGAGCTCATCAATGACTATGTAGAGCAGAAAACCCAGGGGAAGACCAAGGAGGGGGTCAAGAGCTTGGATGAAGAGACCCGGATGGTCTTGGTGAACTGCCTCTTCCTCAGAGATGAGATCATTCTGGGAGGGAAATGGGCGTTTCCCTCCTCTGAGCCTTGGGGCTGCTTCTTCCCTGAGGCAGCCTGCTGTGACCTCCTGTGCTGAGGAGGAGACAGAGAAGAACAGAGGACGGGGGTGCTGGGTGCGGGCTGAGTGGCTGCGGGCAGGAGCAGGAGGATGGGCCTGTGGGTGGAGGGTTCTGTGGGCCTCAGTCAGTGCCCAGGGCTGCATGACGTTTGCTCTTCTGGCCTGAACCCCACGTGACCACCTGAGGGTCCTGGGTGCAGAGACTTAGACGGTCCCCATCCCTCACCCTGTGTCATGGGGGAGCAGGGACCATGCTCTCTGTAAGGTAGGCAGAGACTCACTCACCCATGCCCCACAGTGCTCAGGAGTCTGTTCCCTCAACTCAGCACAACCAGCTCCTCTGGGCCCAGTTTCCAGCTCGCCCAGATGACTCTGGGTCCAGGAAGTACCTAGACAGCATACAAGGTGACCATTCCCTGTCAGGTGCTCAGCATTCTCTCTGCCTACAGCCCAGTGGAAGATGCCCTTTGACCCCCACGACACCTACTAGACAAATTTCCTTGTGAGCGAGAGCAGAAAGGTGAAGGTGATGAGCGCTGAAGACATCCGGGTGCCCTACTTCCGGGACGAGGTGCTTGACTGCACTGTGGTGCAGCTCCTGTACAAGGATAGCAGCGCCTGTGTCCTCCTCGTCCTCCCTGACTATGGTCACGTGGCCAAGGTCGAGGCCACACTGCTCCCAGGCACTCTCCAAGCTGGAGGGACTCGCTGGAGATGAGGTATCCCACCCTGTCCCTGCAGCCCACTTTCTTCACCCTCACTTCCCTGTCCCCACCAGCCGGACCCCCTTCAGCATCAACAATGGGACCCCTGAGTGGGTGCAGCAGTGTGGTCGGGGGCTCCCAGGCTCTGGTATCAGCCCAACCCTGGGGTACCAAGGGAGCAGAGGGCCAGCTGCCTCTGACAATCACAGGCTCAGGGGGGACAGGATGAGGACCCCGAATCCCCAGGACTCACATGATTACACCCCACCACCTGTCTCCATGTCATGAGGCCAGGACGGAGGACAGGACCCCTGGGGGCTGGGAGAGATGGGCCTGGGGCAGCTGTGCCCTGGTTCGGGGTGGAATTGTTCTGGGCCGAGATAGTAAGGAGAGTGAAGGACTTGCTTGCAGCAGCTGATTCAGGCTCCACCCCTGGCACCCGGAGCCCTTGGAGTGATCCCTGAGCCAGAGCTAGGGGTAAGCCCTGAGGACCATTGGGTTTGACAGGAAGAATTCATTCACTCATTCATTCACTCATTCACTCAGTCATTCATTTACTCATTCACTCATTAATCACTGGATCATTCACTTTCTTTTATTCTCTCACTCACACATTCTGTCACTCACTCACCCAGCCTGGAGTGTTGGTAACTGAGCACTACTTAGACTCAGGCATGAATTCAGACAAGAGGGTATCCTGCTGCTGAAACCTGGTCCCCTGCCGCCCTCTGTCCCGGGGAGAGTGACCCGGGGAGAGTGACCCCCTTGACAAGTCAGTGATTTGGTGTCTCGAAGTTGAGGACTGGATGGGCGATTGGGGGCCCTGGAGGGAATGGGGACCCTGGACCGGGGTGTGTTTGTGAGAAGGGGTGCTGGAGGTGGGAGCTCAGGTAGGGAGCCATGGGGAACTATCCAGGGAAAAGAAGCTGGGCAGAGAATCAGCGGGCAGCAGTCATAGGGGGTGGCAACTGGCGAGTCAGACCCTCTTGTCTGAATTCATGCCTGGGTCCGAGTAGTGCTCAGTGGCAGCACCCAGGCTGAGTGAGCGAGCGAGTGAGAGAGTCACGGGTGGAGAGGAGCTCAATGGAGGGCTGGATGTGAGCATAGGGGCAGGGTCATGCACCCATGGGGTCAGTGTCTCTCTCTGCTCTGAGGGAGCCTGGAAGATCAGTTCGGGGCCTCAGTTCAAAGGACCAGAGAGCAGCTGTGCAGGGCCCAGGGGCTGCAACGCTCATGGTTTCTTTCTGCTCCCAGAATCATCACCCTGAACCTGCCGAAGTTCTCCATCTCCGGGGACTACGACCTGAAGCAAGTCCTGACAGAGCTGGGCCTTAGCAGCGTCTTCTAGCAGGTGGATCACTCAGGACTCATCCAGGCTGAGAACCTGTATGTCTCCCAGGTGAGGGGAACCTGCAAACCTGCGCCTCCAAGGGGGATGCACTCAAGGCCCCCAGGAGCACTGAGGGCCCCCGAGTCTGTCATAGCTGTGCCTGCCCCTCGGCCTGCATATCCCTGGGCTCCCCAGGAGATTGGTCCTAGATGGGGGGTCCCAACCCCGCTGTGGAAATAGCCCTGACTCTGGACCCACCTTCTCCTGCCCAGGGGTCACCCAGGCCCTCCAGCCTCTGCTGGCCCCCCATACAGTGGGGGTTCCGTACTGGTCACAGTCCTGCAGGGCCCAGCAGCTCAAGGGGTAAAGGAACCCCATAGGCTGTGCTGTGATGGCCCCGCACCTGCCCCAACTCTCCAAAGCATGAAAGTTCATTCCTACAAGGGTGATCCAGCTGATCTGGCCTGGGAGCTGATGGCCAGGGGACAGGCAGAGACAGCGGGCATAGCCCAGCTGAGAGGCAGGGCCCTGCAGGAAGCAGGAGGCCGGGGCTATCCACTCTGCTCTAGGCGCGGTGACAGCAGCTGCCCCATCTAGGAGCTAAGGAAAAGCACCCGAGTTGCCCCTTCTTGCTCCCTTCTTGTGTGTTGGGGACCTTGGACACTGCCCCGGGCAGAGCAGGACACCGAGACCCCTCTCCTGTTCCCACGCCTGAGCTCACTCCTGCCCACGGCCTGGTCAACCATCTGTGCTTTGGACTGTGCTGGTCAGGCCCTGAGTTGTGGAAGGGCCATGACTGGGGACCCCAGAGCCAGTACAACTGCCCCTCGAGGGGCTTGGGTAGGCAGGCTGCATGCCGCTCGTCCTGCCCAGTGGTGACAGCTCTGTGCCCCCCAGGTGGTCCACAAGGCCATGCTGGACATGACCGAGAATGGCACTAAAAACGCTCCCTTCCGGGGAAAGTTCCACCCTCTTACTCCAAAACCACTGGAGATTATGAACTTCAACAGGCCCTTCATGGTGGTCATCATCTCTGAGGACACACAGGACATCCTCTTACTGGGTAAAGTGGTAAACCTCAAGAAGGCCTGAGCTAATGCTGGAATAATGGGGCCTATCCCAAGAGCTGTCCCTGCCCATGACCCTGCATGCCCTGGCCCACCTGGGTCACCTTCCTGGTGGCTGCTTCCAGTATAGGGGACTGTGTGAGAGCAATGAACATCTTCCTCACAACACCAGGCTGGGCCATGACCCATAGGTCTTTGAGGGGCCTTTTATCTACCTCCACCTGCCCATGTCCTGGACCTCAGCCCTGTCCCTCAGCTTTGGGCCCTCCATGCTCAGAAGCTTCTTCTGGGCTCTCAGATGGTGGTCCAGATGCCCAGGCAGTGGACACCTGGGTCCTGGCTGTGTCCGACCATTCTAGGCTCTTTGTCCTCAATTAGGATACACTTTGCCCAGGGTCCAGATGTGCCCACCTGGACCACTCAAGGTCCCTGAGTCAGTGCTGCATGCAAACAGATCACCCTCAGACTGAAGCTGAGCTGGTGACTGTTGCTTGGCCGCTGCCTTTGACCCCATCTCCCCAATCTTCAGAGAATCATTCCAGCCAGGTGCCAGATGCCTAAGTGTCCCCTCCTTCCTGGACAAAACCCCATGAACAAGGGCTAGAACGGAGGACGGGGGTATCTCTAGAGCAGCAGAGCTGCCCAAGCCTCATGCATGCACCCACATTCCACCTGGGCACCAGGGACGGTGTCACCTGTCCCCGAGATGTGACAACAGGCTGAATTCCAACACCTCCTGCAGGCAGACAGCTGAGATCTGCTTGTGCTGTGACCCATTCCACCTTGCCACCACCAAGTGATCCCATGCTGTGATTAGCACCAGAAAGAGGGAGGGGACACAGGGAGGTTCAGTGATTTCACCTCAAACCCACTAAATTGTGTGTCGCAAGAGCAACTGCCACATGGGTGAGGACAGGGAAGCCCCATCCACCAGACCACCAAGCATTTCCACCACCACTAGGGATGCCCAGAATTTAGCTCCGGGCTGACCCACCCACCTGCAGGGGGCGCCAGAGTGCACAGGTGAGGGGCACTGTCTCCCAGCGCCACCCAGCTGGTGTGACCCAGCTGTTACTGTGCCTTTGACCGAGTGTCTAGGAAGTGGGTCTCCATGCCCCCCCTCCAGCCCTGTTAATATGACAGAACAGCTCAGGGGATTCAGTATCGAGTCCTCATGGGGCCCCCTGGGCTTCACCAAGGACAGAGGCAGGAAGGGCGGCTGGGTGAGGACCAGGGGCAAGTTGAGGGAAGCCCAGAGCACCCGTCCTCTAGGTGAACCCCTGCCCCAAATCCCCAAGTGTTCCCCAGCTGGGCAGCACCCACGGCTCTTTGGGATTTGTGTGATATGTTCACCAGTGTGACGGGGAGAGAGGCAACCCCATCCTCTCCCCATTTGCCCCTGGAAACACAAGGTGGTCCTCTAGCAATTAGCCCACCATTCCTGCTGCCCTTTGACCCTTGCACACACACCAGCCCCTGCCAGCCCTCTCAGCACTTAGCAAATTCAGGGCTCCTGTGTGTGGAGAAAACTGAGGGTGCATGCACAAGGCCCATTGGTCATCTGCAAGATCAAGTCCACATTCCTGACACATTGCAGCCTGACCCCAGTAATGGCCACAGGCAGTCTGTTTCTACCTGCCGACCACAGTGATTCACCTAAAGATGCTTACAGGGATGGTACATGGGCTATCTGATGGACAAGATAGAGGGTGACAAAAAATTTTTTTTTTAGGTTTTTGTAGTACGTAGATGATGAAGGGCAAAAATAGTAAAGGGTGAGAGCAAGCTCTAAAAAATTAAGCAAAGTAAAATTGAGTGTGAGGTCAGGGAAACTTCCCTAAGGAGGTGCTGTCAGAGGAAGCATGGTGAGGATGGTGGTGAGGGTGACTGCAGGACTAGAGAAGAGAACGTTCTGGCACCAAAAAGTGATGGAGACATTGGCAAGAAGTTGAAGGAATCGGGCAGGTCTGGGTAGGAAGGAGGATTTTCAGGCAGGAAGGGGTTATGATTGAGCTCCTATTGCTGAGATCAGGAGCTGGGAATGTGTCTAGAATGTTCCTTCAAGCCATCAGTTGCTCCAAGAATTTTGTGTGTGTTCTTGGCACCATATTTGAACCTAATAACGTGATGTTGGTGGCTTTTCTGCCCATGATAGAGTAGGTGGGAGAGAACGTGGAGTTCTATATCTATGTCTACCCCCCATTCAGCAATATGTCATCTACCCACACACCATCCATCTCCTGTTCATCCATACAAACTTCCATCCATCCAAACTTCATGTACTCCCCATCCTTCTATTGTTCATCCATCAACCACCCATCTACCTTCCATCGAACTGTCTATGCACCCAAGTGTGTATCCATACATCATGTCCCGACCATCCACCCAGACAACATAAACCCATCATCCATCCATTCTACATACGTTTATCATCCATCCATCCATCCATCATCATCTTCCTTCCCACGTCAACTCAATCACCACCATCCACCATCTATCCAACATGATCCAACCATTGATCCAGCCATCCATCCACCCAACTCCTATCTATCCATCTTCAATTTATTTTTAAAAATACGTCATCCATCCATCAACAATCCACTAATGTCCAACCATCTAGACATACATTCGTTTTACTACTGCCATCATTATTCATCTTCCTACCCAACCATCATCCATGGTCATCATTCATCTATCCTTCCATCCATCTACCCATCTGCTCATCCATACATCCCTGCATGCATGCCTCCATCCATCCATCAGTGGATGCCTCCATCCATCCATCCATCCATCCATCCATCCATCCATCCATTCATCCATCCATGTAGACATGCATGCAAGCTTCCATCCATCCTGTGATGCAGATGCTCTCAGGATTTACTTACAAGGAAATTATTTTCCTTCTAATCTTGCTTATATCTCAGGAGGAGAAGGGCAGTGATGGGCAGGGAAGACTGAGGCCAGATAGACAAGTAGGGTGGATCGCAGCCAAGGGCTCAGGAGCCCTTGGAATCTTAAATCTGGGGCAGATTTTCCTCAGAGAACCCACTGGCTGAGATAGGAAGCAGCTGGTCGCAGACCCCCCAGGGCACTGGAGAGGGTCAGCATAGTTGTGAGGCCTCCTATGTGTCTGGGCTTGTGACATCACAGGCAGGACCAATCCTGGACAGCACAGTGACTTGGGGAACCCAACGGGGCTTCCAGGAAAGCGTCCCTGAAAACACGCTCCAGGGCACCTAGCAACCCTCGGCCAGGAGGATTGTCTCAGTGTGGGCAGCAACGCGTAGACTGGTTCTGGGTGGCAGAGTGGCACCCCACAGGTCACACGTGTCCCATCTGGGCTTCTATGACCAGATGCCCCCAGATTGAGGGCACCAGCCTTGGGGTGAGACATGACTAGGGACTCGGGTAGGACAGGGGCACGCATGTCCCCGACCCATCCCATACCACCCTAGGAAGTAGGGGGCAGACTGAGCCCTGGAGCCAGACCACAAGACAGGGAAGACTTTGGGGTCCAGGTGTGCAAGGTAGAGAGGAGGGTCTGGGGCGATGGCTGGAGCGGAAGAGTTCAGCAGGGAAGGAGATTGAGGGGTGGAGGAGCCCACAATTCTGCAGAGGAGACAGGGGCCCTGCTGGGGAGAAGCAGGAGGAGAGCACCCCTGCTAGAAAAATGGAAGCAGGTGAGAAGCACCCCTGCTGGGGAAAGGAAAGGAGGAGGGCAGCGCCACCTGCTGGGGAAATGGAAGTAGGAAGGGATAGCGCCCTGCTGGGAAAAGGGAAGCAGGAGGGGAGCGCCACCTGGTGGAGAAAGGGAAGCAGAAAGGGAGTGTGCCCTGCTGGCAAAAGGGGAGCAGGAGGGGAGCGCCCTCTGCTGGGGAAAAAGAAGCAGGTGGGGAGCGCCCCTCACTGTGGAAAGGGAAGCAGGAGGGTGGCGCCCCCTGCTGAAGAAAGGAAGCAGGAGGGGAGTGCCCTGCTGTGGAAAGGGAAGCAGGACCAGAGGGTCCCAGCTAGGGAAAGGGAAGTAGGAGGGGAGCTACCCCTACTGGGGAAAGGGAAGCAGGAAGGGAGCGTCACTGCTGGGGGTAAGCTAGAGGTGAGCGCCCCCTGCTGGGAAAAGGGAAACAGGATGGGAATGCCTCCTGTCGGAGAAACGGAAGCAAGAGGCAACCCCCTCATCCCCCGCTGAAGAGAGGGAAGCAGGAAGAGAGCGCCCCCTGCTAGGGAAAGGGACGCAAGAGGGGAGCGCCACCTAATGGAGAAGTGGAAGTAGAAAGGGAATGCGCCCTGCTGTGGAAAAGGAAGCAGGAAGGGAGTGCACCCTGCTGGGGAAAGGGAAGCATCAAGGGACCGCCCCTGCTGGGGAAAGGGAAGCAGAAGAGGAGCAACCCCATACTGGGGGAAGGGAAGCAGGCGGGGAGACCCCATGCCCCCATGCTGGGGAAAAGGTAGCAGGAAGGGAGCACTCCTTGATGGGGAAATGGAATCAGGTTGGGAGCGCCACCTGCTGGGGAGATGGAAGTAGGAAGGGAGTGGGCCCTGCTGCAAGAGAGAAGCAGGAAGGCAGCCCCCTTCTTGGGGAAAGAGAACAGGAGGGGAGCGCCCCTGCTGGGGAATGGGAAGCAGGATGAGAGTGGCCCCTGCTGGAAAAAAAGGGGAGCAGGAGGGAAGCGAACCTGCTGGGGAAAGGGAAGCAGGAAGGGAGCGCCCCCTGCTGGCGAAAGGGAAGCATCAAGAGAGCGACCCATGCTGGGGAAGCTGAAGCAGGAGGGGAGCACCACCTGCTGGGGAAATGGGAGTAGGAACGGAGTGTGCTCTGCTGGGAAAAGGGGAGCAGGAAGGGAGCAAGCCTGCTGTGGAAAGGGAAGTAGGAGGGGAGCGCCCTCTGCTGGGGAATGGGAAGCAGGAGGGGAGCGCCCCCTGCTGGGGAATGGGAAGCAGGAGGGGAGCGCCCCCTGCTGGGGAATGGGAAGCAGGAGGGGAGCGCCCCCTGCTGGGGAATGGGAAGCAGGAGGGGAGCGCCCCCTG